ATAATATTTTTGTTGTTACTTTTGCGTTTACTATTTTAAATAAAACCTAATTACTAATCTGATAAGACTGCTTTAATACACTTATTATTTTGTTTTTTAATGTATTCCATGGTCTCTTATTATCATCATTGATTGCCTTATTCATTTTTGAAGAGCATATTTCATCATTTTATGAAATTATTATTTTGCAATTAGCTTATATTGTACTTAAAAGCAATTATTTTAGTTTTCAACCACAATCACCTCAAATTATTACATTATTTTACGAGAGGCTTTAATGTTTTTTGTACCTACTATCTTTTGAAACGTATTATGAATTAAATCAAAGTCGCAACAAAAACAAATAACAAAATAGTTATTTTATGGCTATATTTATAAATACAATCTTAAAAAAATTGAATTAAGCTAATGAGAAAATGTTACTTACCTTATATTTTTAAATTAATTTCACTACCTCTTTAGTATTCAATTTACATTGCCTATTAATCATTTTTTTAAAATGTAGTTTTTTGTCCTAAATAAAATTTTTATTTCGTCATTTGCACCTGGTTTTTGTTTTTTATAAATTATTGGCGTATTTGTAATTGTATGCGCCGCAGTAAAACGTTATTTTTTGTATCAAAAATTGTATTAAAATTATCGCGTAATTAATTTCAACAATAAAAGATTTGACTTGTAAGATTTGTAATAGTATTCTGTTAAAATGATCTCTTAGGAGTTTTTTGCGAATACAATGTGAATATTGTGCATTTTAATAGTAAATTAATAATCAATGTCTAAAAAATGTAAAGATGGTTGTATTATTTTATTTCAGATATTTTTTTTATCTAATGAATCTTAAGAGAATGTAAATCATTAAGTGAATGTAATATCTTTATAAAAATAAAGTTGCACTAATTTGTGAGATTTTGAGTATTGCAAGAAATATCTATATATATGCATTATAGATAGTTTTGGAATTTTTGCCTCATTGTTTTTGTTATTCGCTGCATCCAGTGGTTCTAAATTCTAGATCGTGTCAGGTTGAAATCGGTAGCTTCATCGGTGAGGGACAAATAGGTCCAACAAAATCACAATAAACGTAGTCAAAAAAGAAACATTATTTAAGAATAATTTGTAACTGCTTAAAAATTCATAAGAACTCATGGTGTGTTCTGAATTTGTCAAAGTTGAAATTCTACCGATTGCTGTTGTACGCTAAATCTCTGTTNTGGAGAAAAGTCTCCCTTTATCATAACAACATTATCTGCAACTGAACGGATTTCATAACTCAAATATGGCTCATAAAACTCTTAATTTCGCTATTCTGAAATCACAGTTCACTTATGTAGTTAATAAAATAGTTAAATCACATTTTCTTCTATCCACAGAAGAAGTCAAGATTGTTATCGACTAGTCGAACACCAATTCAATCAAATCAATTAATTCAGTCACGTTATACGACTTCCTAAACATTTAGCAAAACGCACTGTGTTGTATCGACCTTCTGAACCCTCTTGCAAACAAATCTCCCTTTTCAAGAGTTATGAAACCCACTTGTAATTACATATTTTATTACAATTTGTACTTCCGTCTTCTTTCAAGCTCTTAGAAATTCAAAGTTTTTCGATTTTGCAGGACCAAAGAAGAAAAATCGAAGTAAAATTACAATGAAAGCGTCTAGTGCACCTTGAGTAGGTTCGCATGACACCAATTCGATTCACATTTAACAACTTTATCACAATTTTAAACATGCATAGGAAGAGAAAACAAGCTTAACCGATTAAGAATTCTTAAACAAGTTATTCCTGTTAATGACATATAAAAGCAAAACATACAGGAAGACATAATCAATTAAAAAAAAGTAAACAATTTTAAACAGTAAAATTAAATACCGGATGATAAAAATAGACAATTATATCAACACAGATTGTTTTTTACAATTTGCAGCAGTTATTACGTTAAAATATAACAATATAATTAAACAATAATGCCAAAATGGCAGCGTTTATAAGCAATACACAATTTCGATTCGAATTTGGTAGTTATCATATATTGTCATATTATTGTCGAATTTTTCAATGATTTACATGTTTTTTTGATATTGATTTATTCAAATGCATTAACTTCACACTATTGTTTATCAACTTAAAAACACCATAGTCACCATGCATACATGTGTAATTATTATATAAAAACGTGCATGTATCAAAATAAATCATAAGGGCTTTAGTTCACATCTCCACCTTCAGATTGATCACTTATAAAGCGATACTAAGCTTTGATATTGACGATTGAAATTTAGCGCGAACAACTGAATACGTTTGTTTTCGGAAAGTTACTATGTCTAAAGGTCAGATGTTTTTTTAATTGCTAAATACATATTTTAAAAACTCTCTTTAAATATGTTATCTAAATAANTCAAGCTACATATGTAATAATTAAAGTATTTAAAAAATATGTAATACTTCCAGGAAATAATACTCTCTCATCTCCAATTGATTTCATACAATTTGCTTTTTGCAATCAAAAGTTATTAGCCATTTGCGTCCAGTGTGCGTCCTCCCGCAAGCCTATTTCTACTCACTACAATTTAATACCCAAAATAAATATCATATATGTTTCTTACGTAAAATTATTCGTTGTTTCGAATGGCACTATCAGTTTTTACAAATACAATTTAAAAAGGTATCCAGAAAAAAACTGTATTTTTGCTCTGAAATTGTTACATAAGAATAGGACGCGTTATTCTAGCTTACTTGAAGAATATTGTTTATGGGTAGACTTTACCTGGTTACAAATTTTTCCGAAGTGAAAATCTTCGTTTACTCCACTAATAGAAATTATACACTTCTTTGTAGTAATTTTTTCTTATGTCGTATATATATATATTTGGTGAAAGTTATGGATGAATTACTGAGAGACAAAAATGTGATTTTTTGTAAACTTTTAGTTTTGTTTTTCTAATTACTTTTTGTAACTGAAATGTTTAAAAGAAAGTATCGATGGAAAACTTAATTTTCTACAAAAATGTATTTTTGTAAAAATCTCGAATTTTGTAACAAATTAACATACTAATCTATAAAAACTTAACATAATTAGTTTCTTTCCTTCCTATTTTTAAACATATTCAATAGTTTAAATTTTAATAAGATGCTTGTCAAACTAATTAATTGTGATTAATGGACGACGCAACTTTTGCTTTTAGAAATTCCTTTCGTTGTTAATCGTGTAAGTTCGTGTTTTGAATGTAGCATTAGCGTTTCTACAAATGTTATTGTAAAAAAAGTTATTTTTGGTGATTATATACATCTCATTTTACTTATTTCTTTACATTATGTAATAAAATAATAAGTTAGAAATTTTTTATGTTAAGAAATTTCTAAAAATTGGCTCAATTATCCATCTTAGTTTATTACGTTATTTGCTTTGATTATAATCTAGAGAAGCAAAATGGCAGCCGATGACAATACGAGATATGGGGATCTCTGCAGATTATGTGCCACAAAAACAAACATGCTTTTAGGTGTGAATATCTTTGGAAACGAAGCTGCTGTGCGTCAAATTAATAAAAAGATCGAAACTTGTCTTCCTATTCAGGTAATATTATTCAAATTTTTAGGTTATATTTACGTTATCAATCAGATAAACCAAGTAACTAAATTTATTGTATTTTAAGATTCATCAAACTGACGACTTACCAAAGATGATCTGTGAAACCTGCGTTTACAAGTTAGAAATCTTTTATGATTTTCGTGAAAGATCAGTGAGAACAGAAAACTTATTGATAGAGTTACTAAAAGAACTTAGTGCGACCAAATCTCATAATACTTTAAACAAAGTGCCCCCATCTTTAGGCATTGGCAATCTAAATAGTGCAACAAAATCTCATAATACTTTAAACAAAGTGCCTCCATCTTTAGGCATTGGCAATTTAAACCATTCAGATATAATTTTGGTTCAAAACAATGATTTGCTCAGTGAACAAAGTTTGCAGGACATTGATTTCAGTCAGCTAGATCATAGACACATAATCATTACAGACAATGAAATTATGTTAAATCAGCATAATGCAAATATTACGGCAGCTCACTCTATGAGTGCCATGGATTTGAATCACCATGATTTACCAAGTCACGAACTTTCAAACCACAGTTTAAATGGTCCAGATTCAATGATAGTCAGCTCAGCAGATATGCATTTGCTTCAGCATTCAAGATATATGGAAGAGTTGAATTTAATACAGTCAGAACAGCAATTTATTGCTGAGCAATATATTTTGCATCAAGAGGCACAATTGACTACAGCAAGTAATTCTCATGAAATTGATGATATTCATTCTCATCCTCAGTCCCACAATAGTGCAGATAGAGCACAACAGGTATGATATATTAATTTTTTATAGACTATATACGTACAAAACACATGTCATATTAATATATTAACAGTTAAGAGATACAGGGTGTTAATGTGTAAAAATTCTAAAGTCTATTTTGATTAAATGAGAGAAAAAAATTGAGTTGTATTTAATTTAGTAGAGGTACATGTAGATTAGATTATTGTTCACAAATAGTTAAGGATGTGGGATGTTTTAGTTTTAGGAAAATGTGAAGATTATCTCAGGATAGGAAAGAGTGAAGGTACATGCCCAACCAGTCTTAGGACTGACAACATTATGATGATGATTTTATTAACCATTTTTTTATTCACCTAAGATGTATATTGAGAGTAGAAAATTTTATGAGTTTGTTAATTAGGGATAATTTTAGAACTAGCAAACCGATTTCAAAAATTTTTTCACTTCAGTAGGTAATACTTTTAAACCATTGATTATTACTTGTAGGAACTTTTTGAAAATTCCAAATTGAATTTAAATCACGAGCTATCCAGTACGACAGTAATGACATCTGCAGATGTCAACATTACTTTGGATCAAAAAGATAGCGCCCTTGTCAGTCAGAAGAAAAACGATACAGCACATAGTGTTGTTCCTGTTCCTGTTTGTATGCCTTCACAAATAAAAGAAGGCTTTGATACTAGCACCACTGCTTCACATTCAACTGAAGATTATGGCATTAATAAAATAGATATTCCAGAAATATTGTTGACTTGTACTCTGTGTCAGGAACAATTTCATGGAAAAGGAGAATTTGCAAAACATTGTGACACACACATGAAAGAAAATAATTTTACAGCGAATGAATCAATGACACCAGAGTCGAAATATCAAATGAGAATAGATAAAGAAACAGTGAAGGTAATATNTTTCTCTAATCAAGAGGAAATGTGTAGAACTATTGCTCCCTATATTTCAATCACAAAATTAGAAGTAAAATGATTTACTGAAACTACAACTTTTGTAAAAATATATATATGGAACTTTAATTGTACTATTATAATGTTTGATGTAAAAGACGAAAAATATGAAACTCACCTTGTCTATTCGCAGGTACATCTTGCTGAACATTTTTTTTAAAAAATATATTATGTAATTAGATTGCACATCTTGTTATGCACTAAACAAAAACAGGGAAAAACACATAGATTTGGTTACCAATTATTTATAGATGCCACTACTGAGCTTCATCAGACGGTGAAATTTAACAAACAAAAGCAAAAAAAACTTATTTCACAATTAATCTACAGCAGGAAGAGATTAAAATTTACACAATATAACTATTTCCCCAACTACTTTAGAGTAGTCAGTATATAAATACATAATTTATATTTGCTTTTGTTTGTTACATTTCTTTCATTTTAAGAAACCACTGAAAATGAGTGGCGAAATAATCAGTAATAAATCAGTAAATTATTTTGAACTAAAACTTTCCTGTTATTTTTATGGAGTTACATGAACTAAAGCCACCATGTATTCATTTTCTATTAAATTTTTTAAAGAATGGCTTATTAAAATTATATACAAATCATTAATATGTAAATTCTTCCTCATCTAAATTTAAGCACGTGTTTCGCTACTTCTTACTTGGGTATTCATAAGAGGTGGACGAAACACGTGTACATCCATTGTCAGTAAAGTTTGTAAGGGTAAATTGAGATGAGTCTCCCTTTTTCATTTATTTGATTACCACAATCGTAACCTTCCTTTTTACAGGCTTTTACTTCGCTTCACCTGTCCGTTCGTGAACAGGTTTATCGACAGTGAAAATTTTGTTAGTTTTGGCCCCCCTTCTTTATGTGTAACTAAATTGAATTTTTGCATGCGTGCTTAGTGATATAACAGTACAACATAGTCTATAAGTAACAGGTGACGATAGAAGTAGAGCGCGACACACTTGTACGAGGGTATTCCCATTTATTCTTAATCATTTGATGTAAACAAAACCTTTGTTTTTTAAAAACTTTTCCAACATTTTTATCTATTCTCTTCCAATTCTTTTAAAAATATTGAATTAACTATAACGGAAGGACTAGCAGATTGTTAAAGGCGTTCAGTTTCATTTCGAATTTTCCAATATCCTGAAAATATTTCTAGTTTCTTAATTTAATGTTTAATTTAGAAACGTTTGTAATGGTATTAAACCAGAATTATAATTTAAAAACATTTTAGGCTGTCGAAGAAACTCCAAAGATTACGATCACAAAAACGGAAACGAAATTAAGCGATGCAGAAAGCGAAAGCGACGACGATGACACTTCAAATCCAATACAACAGGATGATAATTTAGAGAACGATAAACAAGACGAAAAGTGTGCGCCCGTAAGCACAGCGAAACGCAAAAAATGGATACCGAAAGAGTGTAAAGAGTGCGGAAAAACATATAAGACTAATTACAAACTAATAGAGCATATGAGAATACATACTGGAGAAAAACCTTACAAATGTGGGTCGTGCGAGAAAGCTTTCAGATCCAAAATAGGACTTGCGCAACATGAAGCCAATCATACCGGTAAAAAACATTTTAACATGAAATTTCTTGTGATTCTTATGATCTTGAGAAGGTGTAATAAGTCGAATTGATTTATTTATTAACATAAACAAGCGTTGGTCAAAACATTGGGCGAATTATTTAGTTATAAATTAAATTATAACTAAAGAATCCACCAACGAACCTATTTACAGAAAGTTAGATTGTTTAAGGTGTACGAAGTCTAGTACGTTTGTTTTATAATATGGGTTTTCTATATTCTGCAGTTGACACAATGTATATTGTAGTTGTAATATAAATAAGAGTCTATTTTTGTTCTGTTAGTTTAATTCTGAATTATCCTATTAGATTCATGCGTTCTTATTAAAATTACTTGTTTCCCAGGTAAATATGAGTTATCATGTCCTACGTGTGGTAAAGGCTTCCAATGTAAAAGTTATCTCATGGTACATCAAAGGGTTCATTCGGACGTTAAACCGTATTTATGTACTACCTGCGGCCGGCATTTTAAAACGAAACAATCTCTTCTGGATCATACAAATAGGCATTTAGGGCTTAAACCTTACACATGCGAAGAATGCGGGAAAGGCTTTATTACAAAAGGTATTTTTCTTAAATAAAACTCTCTAATAGAAAGTAAATGATTAATTTAACCCTTTTATTTTTTTAAGGACTATGTAAAGCTCATTTAAAAACGCATTGGGGCATTGTAAATAGACAGTTTCTTTGTACAGTATGTAAAAAGATGTTTGTGTCCAAGAGCTACCTTCAAACTCATCTACGAATACATACCGGAGAGAAGCCATTTGCATGTGAGGTATGAATGTCTTCATTCACTTATTTTTTTGTAAAACAAAGCCAAAATTTTATTTGATTGGATGTAGTTTTAAATGGAAAGTAAAACAGCTACAAAAAATGATAATATTTAATAAACATAACTGTTGCTGCTGTTAAGACCCGGGTTTGATTCCCGGTTCGAGTGTAACAGCAGCAACAAATTTTTCTCATTAACTTGAGGTGATCTGTGGTGAGTGGAAATTAAAGTAGTTTCACATTAAAATTTAAAAATTGTATAATATTTGCAAATAGTCATTCTATTATAAATGTTAGCCATAGTAATTCAGTAATTACTTTTCTCATCATCATAATGTCGTCAGTAATAAGACTGGTTGGACACGTACTTCCACTCCTTCCTATCCTGAGCTAATTTTCGCATTTCCCTAAAATTAGAACATCCCACATCCTTAACTATTTGCGAACCGTAATTTAGGTCTACCTCTACTCCTATTAGCTCCTGTTTCCTCCCTAATATGTTTTTGACTAGACCTTCAAGCCTGAGAAGGTGCCCTACCAATCTAAATCGCCTACTTTTTATTGACCTCTATAGAGTCCTCTGTTCTCCTATTCTTTCTAATACCTTCTCGTTTCTAACCTTTCTTATCCACGGTATCCTCATCATTCGCCTATAACACCACATTTCGAACGCTTCTAACCTTTCCTTTTCTGCCGCGCCCACCGTCTGTGTTTCGCACCCGTACAGCGCCGCGCTCCAAACATACACCATTAACAATCTTATTCGAATTTCTAAATTAATCGTTCGCAAGCATAGAAGTCTTTTTTTGTTGAAGGCGACTCGGCCCTCCGCTATCCCCTGGTTTATATCCCTACTACTCCTTCCGTCCTGACTTATCTGACTTCGTCGACTTAAATCAGCCACTTCTTTAATCTATTGTCTTCTGTAAAGATAGAAGAAGATCTTACTTTTTTATAAGTTAAATTTTAAAATGAACATATAATTTGAAACAACGTTTTTGTGTTAAATATTGAAAATTAAAAATTTGAGAATAATACGTTAGTTATCCTTAGATATATATTAATCTTTTATTACAGTTTTGTGATAAGGCGTTCGTGACGCGGGTGGACTTGAGAATTCACTCAACTATGCACACAGGAGAAAAATCGTACGTTTGTGAAATATGTGGAAAAGCATTCGCTCGCAGAGATGCCTTGAGGTGTCATAGACGATCACATACAGGAGAACGACCATACAGGTATGTTAGTGGTTACTTAGTCCCCAATCAGTATTAATATTAGAATCTACATATACATCATTAGAATAAATTCAGACCACTATATAAAATACGAGTTCTGTCTTAGTGAAGAGAACTTTTACCTCTTAGGAATTTCCGAAATTTATCAAATTAGAGGTTTCGGCATTCTACGTTAATAAAAAATATGCAGGATAACAGTACAAGTCATTTATAACGTACACGCTTATTACGGGCTCACGGTTTTAACGTAACATGTCAAACTTCCCAAATTTCTTTATAGTGCACTTAGTAAAAAAATATTTTCTACAACGTAATTTGCTTTTAATTATTACATACTTCTGATATGAATTACCAAATATTCGGGTACGAACATCCAAAAAGAGCGAATTCAGTCTGCCTTTTATTCATATTTTTTTATCTCAGTGGGAACCTACGTGTATTGCATTGAAAGGCGAACATTGTCGCTTTTTTACTTACTGTAATATGATTTTACTAAATGAAATATGGTTTTATATTTTTGGTTCTTTCGTTATTGTACTTACAATATAAAAATATTCTGTACAATAGGTTCACTTACCAGTCACTACATTCTATATCTGTGTATCTTCTTTTTCGTGTAAATAATAAAGCAATATAAGTTCAATAAATGCAATTTAAGCTTTCGTCAAAAAATTTTGTGAGTTTAGTGGTTGAAAAAATCATTTTTGCTTGTGCAACATAAAAAGAAAAAATGCAGACAATGTGTAATTTATTTATTCGGTGAACATTTTGTCATGTCTGTATAGCAATTGAATTCACATCCAGTTAATTTATGATGGCTTGTAAAAAATGGCGGTTAGATCGCAGTAGGAGTGAACCTACTGTATAAGGTAAAAAGGTAAAAACATGGACATTACAAATTTCTTTGTACGCATTTTTGGAATCAAAGTCCACCAAGGTTTAAAGGTTTTTTATTTTTCAAAAATAGTCCATTCAACTTTGATTCAAATTTTTTTTTAATGTCGCACGAGCAAAATGAGAACTGTAAACTAACCGAACTTTCAAGCGTAACACATATACCTAATACTCCTATATTGCTAGTTCAGTTACATACTTCTTCTCACTCGTTTATACTTGATGCGTTATGCGCAAGCGTTGCGACTGTAGTGGGAGAAGCCCTCATCTCTCAATGTAGTTAGAGTAGACAAGTTTTCGTATGCGTGGTAGCTTCTCGGACATGCGCACAACGTTCAAAATCTAAATGAGGGAGACAGACATGTTGTCTATGTCTGCACCGTTGGGTCGTCATCTTTTTATAGACCCCTACTAGCAATATAAGAGTACTAAGTATATGGCGTAACACCCCTCATATGAAAAGATGGCTGAACGTCGTATTTTTCAAAAGATAATGTTGCCGTTTGCTGATTGTACCTAACAGAATAAATCATCCCTATGTTCAATTCGCATATACTGTGGTATATCTTTATATTGTGTTTGCCTTAGTAGTAAAACCCAAGATATTGTAAGCACATGTGTCTAATTATCTTTTAACGAACATTAGATAAAACGCACTAATTTGTAAGTTCCCATTAATTACCTAAAACCTGATCAATGCGCGTGAGTAGTGGGGCGGAATCAGAGAGATGTCATTCGTATGAATACGCGTACAGTCTGTTTGAATCTTGCTAGTAGATTAGGCAACCCAAATGCCTTAAACTGAAACTTACACTACTATCTTTGGAATTACCGCAATAATTAAACAATTTCTTTGGTTTATGTTATAAACAATATCAGATAAATCGAAGTACTATTAAAAGGTAGAAACAAAAAAATCTGTGTCATGTTTTTCATTCATTGGTTTAATAATGCACACTGTTGTAACCAAGTTTCATTTTTATTTAATATTCTACGCAACTTTTACTGACTTGCTTCTCTATTTATGGACCTCTTTTACATTTATGCTAATAAAAGATGATGTGAAGAAAAAATTAATTTTTAATGCCAACTGTTGAACAATATGTTCGAGATTGTATCATCAAATTTATTTTTTCTTATTTAGCTGTGAAGTATGTGGTCAAACATTTACACAATTTTCGCCGATGGCAATTCACAAAAGACTCCATACAGGAGAAAGACCTTATCCCTGCGAAGTCTGCGGCAAAACCTTCGTTTCTAGATCCACAATGATGTGTCATTATAAAAAGCACAGCAAACAATGATCAGCTCTATCGTAGAAATATAATCTATTAAAAATCATGAAGACTGTTATTGAAAACTCAATTTTATTACTGTATCTAAATTAAGTATTAATTTAATTTTAATGAATTAAGTATACCAAAAATGTATAATTTTTAATAAAATGCCACAGAAAAAAATATTTTTTTTTACCGTTAGTGTATATGCATTATGCATATTCAAATTCAGTGCGAGTATTATGATGGTTAAGAAAAGAACGTAAAATGATGTATTCGTTTTTTCAGAATTGTTTTTAGGTTTTGCGTTTTGATTTTGAAAATAAAACATTTCTTAATATAATATTTCACATACATTCAGAGTGATATTGTTAATATTATGTATAACAAAGTAAATGAATGCATTCGATAGCAAACTACTTTATTTGAATGGATTAATTAAATTAAAACATCTCACTAAAAGTCTATGGTTAAACATCAACAAAACTTATCGTAAATATTCAGTTGAAACAATCTAAAATCTAAATACACAGTAATCACATTTAGATAAATATCACAAATTGGAGAAAAGTCTCCCTTTATCATAACAACATTATCTGCAACTGAACGGATTTCATAACTCAAATATGGCTCATAAAACTCTTAATTTCGCTATTCTGAAATCACAGTTCACTTATGTAGTTAATAAAATAGTTAAATCACATTTTCTTCTATCCACAGAAGAAGTCAAGATTGTTATCGACTAGTCGAACACCAATTCAATCAAATCAATTAATTCAGTCACGTTATACGACTTCCTAAACATTTAGCAAAACGCACTGTGTTGTATCGACCTTCTGAACCCTCTTGCAAACAAATCTCCCTTTTCAAGAGTTATGAAACCCACTTGTAATTACATATTTTATTACAATTTGTACTTCCGTCTTCTTTCAAGCTCTTAGAAATTCAAAGTTTTTCGATTTTGCAGGACCAAAGAAGAAAAATCGAAGTAAAATTACAATGAAAGCGTCTAGTGCACCTTGAGTAGGTTCGCATGACACCAATTCGATTCACATTTAACAACTTTATCACAATTTTAAACATGCATAGGAAGAGAAAACAAGCTTAACCGATTAAGAATTCTTAAACAAGTTATTCCTGTTAATGACATATAAAAGCAAAACATACAGGAAGACATAATCAATTAAAAAAAAGTAAACAATTTTAAACAGTAAAATTAAATACCGGATGATAAAAATAGACAATTATATCAACACAGATTGTTTTTTACAATTTGCAGCAGTTATTACGTTAAAATATAACAATATAATTAAACAATAATGCCAAAATGGCAGCGTTTATAAGCAATACACAATTCATAAATGTATAATAATTAACTATCATACCTTCTGTCAATTCTTACCAATATTGCAACTTTATTTTTACAATTAGAAGCCATACATAATTTCTAGATTAACAACGGTATTAACTATATAACAAAATTAAAAAATTGCGCAATCTTAAATCCTAAATTTACAGGTGACCCGAACAGCAGTTCTTCATCAAATAGGTTAGATTTTTAATTACACATATGTAAAACATTTATTATATTACGCCGCCAAAGAGAAATCGTTCCATCAATTTTGATACAAAAAAAATGGAAGTAGTACTGAGATCAAAAGAAAACGCGCTTGTTTCAATATTGTTACATCAATTTACTTGCGAGCCAATTAAAAAAGGTAACTACAGTAATTCGTAAATAAAAAAAAAAAAGATTTTCCTCATGTTTAAAATGTGCTTTTTTAAGAAGTCATTGGAAACACTTTAAAGCAATTGAGTTCTTTAATTAAAAATGGTACTCAGTTAATCGTTATAGAAGCATTTACAATTATTAATGTTTTTATAAAGAACCTTTATTTTCGTAACTAGATCATTACTCTATTATTAATTTTGATGAGATATAAAGAAAATACATACGTATAAATTGATGTATTTAAAAATTGTTTCCAAAAACCTCATGGTTTTTCACATTTTTTATTTTCTTCTATAGCAAATTAAAAAAAAAACTTTTTGTGAAACTTCATTACTCTTACAAGTTCCATCGACGCATAACAAAAAAATTCGTATTTGCGATTAATAATGAATTCGACAAATAACAAATAACTTACAATTTCTTTATAATTTTTTAGGGTATTGAATTTATTTGAAAGAAGCGGCTGAAGAAGTCGCGTGTGGGAGATAATAGTTCACATATGTAATTGCACAAATTTGTGATGACTGAGGCTATTTTGAAAGAAGAATTATAAAAAATTACAAATAAGTTTGAACAGAAGTGTTTCTCCAAACTTTGAAAACTGTGGTTTATTCAAATATTAATAAACGACAGCTAAGTGCTAATTAAGAAATAATTTACTTTTTTAATTTCATCTTTAAACATTAATAAAGACAGTAAAACTTCACATCTCTTGAAAACACTGAAAACTATACCTAAATAATAATTTAGTGAAATTTTCCGATTTAAATATGCAATTAAAATTTGTGATTATTTAAGAACTAATAATTAATAAAAACGTTTATAAAAATTAAAATACTTTTTCATAACAATTTTTCTTTCAAACTCACCTTGAAACTATGTTATTCAACTTTCTTCGGTTATCAATATGTTTTTACATCTTTTGCTTGTTAATTAATCGACGAGCAAAAACAATGAAGATAATCATAGAAAAAATGATATCAATATACGGTAGGTGTACGGACAAACACCGTTACCAAAACACGTGTTGTGTAAATATGTTTGTGTGTGTACAGGTGTGTATGTGACATGTCACCTTCATTATTAATTTGTCATGTACCGATTTACAGTTCGAAGTGCATAAAGGAGCTCCGCTTGCATTCGAGCTTCTAATATCATTAAATTTACGTGAACCTGAAAAAAAAATATTATAAACGAAAATATTTCATGACTTTCATTATTTTGAAATTTAAACAAGAAATATTCTGTTTGGAATAATATTTAAAATTACTCTAAAATAGTCACAGTTATATCTTGTTTATCTTATCGCACTTTAAACAGGTCACATGTGGTTTCAAAATACTGATGTTCAGTATTTCCAGAAAATAGCCAAAACCCTTTTTGTTGAGTGATGTTTTATTGTAAAGATTTAATTAAGTTCACAAAACTTTGACTGTAATAATAATTTTTAGTATATTTTTGCTGGAATTATTTATAGTATTGAATAAAAATTTCATAATCCTCTTTTCCAACCGGAATTGTAATCGGTCGTTTTTATAACTAATGTGACTTTTAGTTTTATATTAAGTTTAAGTATTAAATTCTTTTAATTTTAAGTTTATTTATTATCGGCGTTTTATAGTTTAATAAGTAACAATAAATCTGAAATTCAAGGTCAATATAAGTGAAGTCGCGTGTAGGAAATTCTGTATCCATAGTAAAGTTCTAATAGTGAATTTACTTATGCACCTAATAATAATTTTAATGGAATTTAACAATTTATCTTACCTTTTCACTATGTTTAAACTCTCTTAGCACCTTATCATAATCTTTTTTGGTTACCCGCTCAGGATAACAACATGCACTTTTTATGAATGTCTTTAATGATCTCTCGAGCAACTGGTTAATTTCCCCATAATTATAGTCATCATGTCGGATGCCTAATAGACACTGAATGTAATTCCAAATAGCTGTTCGAAATTTTGATGTGTCCACGTCTGTACGACCGCCCATCGTATAATAGGTGAGGTTATAAGCAGTTCTAAATTTGTCATCCAACAGACTACCCACTTCGTTGTAGAGTCTATAAGTAAATATGACTTTTAAAATTTTAAATACAAAAGGAAATTGTTATGTAAGTACCTATTAACCAATGAATATCCATGATCATTCCATGAATAATCTTGAACTCTGAAAGTTTGTATATCATCGTGATCATTTCTTTTGGCAAAATCTTCATATATAAAACTTGCATCTTCGATAAAACCGCTGATATCTGCAGGAGTTTCTTGGGGTTCTGGGCCAACAACCCCCAATTCAGCTGACTGATGTTCAATATTTTCAAAACGTTTGGTCAATTCTACCTGAGTACATTTTTCGTTTTTCTCAGATAAAGTTTTCATGCGTTGCATAAGAGTTGTGATTCCAACCTCGGGTTCAGTCGGAGAGGGAGGAGGACTACCACTTGAAGAGTCTTCCCAGTCTGCAACAACATTTAATTCTTTTTAACAAATCTTTCATAGGAATTTGTTTATTAAATAAAAAAATCTAAATTTATCAGAATTACGTCCTCTTGAGTAATCAACAAATTCATTCAAAAGTATTTTTCATCATTATTAAACGTACTATATAAACACGTGAGTTAAAGGTTATATTAATACATATATGTACTTATTTCTTACCCTATTCAGAACACATTTTATTAAATGTTTTAAAGTTTTGGAATTTTTAAAATTGGCTACAGCAAACATTTTATTGCGATGTATCAAAATTGAAAATTTAATGGAAATAAAATCTCGCATGCACGTGACACATACAGCACAAATTACTTAAATTTAAGGTTAAGTTCAGAAATTCAAATCAGGTTAAGTATTCATTACCAACAAACCAAAAGAAATAACCAAACGATTTGGACACAATCATTTGCGTGAACCAACGAATGTGAACTTTGGCCCATTATTAAGGCACTATTTACAATACATACTTAATTTTAATTAACGTCTGGTTTTGGTAGTACCTACTATCTATTGCTCTCAGCTACTACAGTGAAGTAGGTATTTCAAAAAAAAAAATGTGGATACTAATTGAAACAGAAACTATGAAAATAATATCACGATTATCATGAAGTAAGCGTAAGGAAAAAATACTAGAAAAACAACGGAGATTTTAATTATATTTTCTGAAAAGATATTATCCGCCTTTGGGTTGTAAAATTTCTATATTTCTTTACTTATTTACCTAAGGGTGATTTTAAGTCCAAATGAAAACTAAAATCTTTTACTTTGAAGAAAAATAGCGTTGCCATATCTCAGATTGTTAAAAAATACCTGACAACTCACTTTAAACGTTGGCAACCCAACGTATTCTACATTCTAAATAAGAAAGCTTTAATTTAGGTCTTGCGCTTTTTAACAAACTTTTTTACATTTTACACCTTATTAATACTCTATTCGTTGAGGAATGTACGCAATTATAAAATTAATTATTTTTTATCATCAATTCTATAATTTATAACTAAAATTAGCAGTTGCCAGCAACATGCTTAGAACTTAAAATCAGGGGATTAATGACTTTATCTTTGTATATATAATTTGCCGTTTTTAAAGTCGCCTCTAAGACTACAAATGCTAGAATATTTAATCAATAAAGATTTAAAAATAAAACAAAAAACGTAATAAATAAATTAGAACATAAAGAGCTAAAATAAATACACAACTGAATGTTAAATAGTGATACAATGGAGATAAAGAAAAGTAGGTGGACTTTATTTATTTTTAGCCATTTCTTAAAGGCGATTAAAAGTAAAATAAGATTAAAATGTTGAAAGAGCAAATTAAAAAGGCCAATANGATTAGACGGTAGACAAGCCATTGTACTCATAGTTATTATAAATCAGGCAACATATTCTTATTGTTATGGCAAACTTAAAAACCGCTTTCTCTAATCAAGAGGAAATGTGTAGAACTATTGCTCCCTATATTTCAATCACAAAATTAGAAGTAAAATGATTTACTGAAACTACAACTTTTGTAAAAATATATATATGGAACTTTAATTGTACTATTATAATGTTTGATGTAAAAGACGAAAAATATGAAACTCACCTTGTCTATTCGCAGGTACATCTTGCTGAACACTTTTTTTAAAAAATTTTATACAACTAGAGTCGACGACAATGTCGACGTGGGTTTCCCCCGACGTATGATACGTGTGAGCCCCTATCTGGTCCACTTCTTGATTCACTCCACAAGAAAAAACAAATGAACAAAGCGAATGAAAATGGGTCAGAATTACTATGGCATGAACCACTTCCGCTAGGGACCAACTGTCCTTGCCTTTGGTTAACTTCTGGAATTAAATAAAATTATATGAGAAACATACCTATTAAAAAAATAAAAAAGAAAAACAAAACTGAATAGTAAAACTAAAAAAACAAGTTCTTGAAAATCTAAATTTGTTCCTTACCTCAATATGAGATTTGTTTAGAAGCCAAGGCCTGTGGGCCAGTATTTTATTGATTTCATAGAGATCTTTAAGTTTTTGTGGTATGTGGTCTAAACCTTTCAGCCATGTATGATTCCCCCCTTGTACCAAAAATTCTTGTTTTTGTAACGCTATTAGGTAACTGCACTGGTGACGACCTGAGGCCTGAAACAAAAAAAGGAACAAATGAATATCTATTTATACTTAATTGCAATTAGAAAATAGTAGTTAAAATTCATTAAAAAAGAGTGCGGCACCACCGGTTATATGGCTTATTCGTACGTAACTAAACAGTACTCCAATAAATACATGCGTTTTCGTAAAATACTTACAGGAATAAGATCGCGTATATATGGTTGTATCAAATCAAAATATGTACAGAAAACTCACCAAAAGTTCACCATAGCATTATTCACGTAATTAAAAGTACAGGGATTGTTGTAATAAGTGAAGTTTTTCGATTCGTTTTTTAAGAATTTTCGATTATAGGCATTTATTAGCACACCACAATGTCTTGTAATTTACAGTTTTTATATCAATTCGATATTGTTTTGTGGGCTGTTTTGTCGTAATTTATAGAATTTCGTAGTTCCTTGCTAAAGGTACGATAAGAAGTGATTTGGCAGGTGCTGATATCAATTTGAAACTTCAAAATTCCATGGACCATGACATTGAATCCAGAAAACAATATCGATCCAATACTTTAGATTATCCATTTCCAAGAAATTTAGAATTTTTTGGGCTCTCTGAAGTTACAGAATTAGAAGGCATTCATGGAATGTCTCTTTGCCCCCTTTTTAAGCTTCTAGTACCTTCAATGGCTAAATGTCAGCAACTTTTATTCTTCATTTCATGTAATCTTTGATCGGTGATACTAGCAAAACATTTAACGCCCAAAATGCATTTTGCATTTCACAAATAGAAAATACGTTTGGAAAAGTATTTTCAATAAAATACAAAATGCTTTTCTAGAAAAAATATTTAAATGCAAGATAAAAATAGGTATTTTTTATTTTGTAGTTGAAGAACTTCGTCATTAAGGTTAATTCTAAAATATCACAAATAGCGCGGTAAACGCCATCTGTGGTATGATGCTACATTTTAGGATTACGTATGCTCCAACAACGTTCATTAAACTGTATGCAAGTATGCATCTCATAAGCGCGTCGGAGACAGTTTTGACAGAACACAGGCCAATTTTTACCTGCTGTCTTAACAGTGCGTTTCAGAAAATACTACAAGTGGAGCGGTAAACGCCATCTGTAGTACGATGCTACATTTTAGGATTACATATGCTCGAACAAGGGTCCATTTAAACGTTTGGATATCTACTTGCTGAAACGAATTCCGGCGTAGATAGACCTTGTTAGAGCATACGTAATCCTAAAATGTAGCATCGTACTACAGATGGCGTTTACCGCGCCATTTGTGGTATTTTATTGAAACAATCCGTTTCACCTTCAACTCTTACCCTCAACCAGTGGCGTAATAATAAGGTGGTAGAAGGGGCAAAACAAGACAGGAGGAACCTAGCATTTATTACAAAATTTGGTAAAAAATATTAATTTTGTATTTAATCAATTTTAATTAGGTAGGTATTAACTCAACAACATATACGAATTATAGATACAAATAAATTATCAAGATTTGAACACATTCATAAGATAAAGATATCGCTCAGTTTTAGAACACATCCATTGCGCTAAATTCATTGTTTTTTGTTGCGGCACTTCTTAATAGAGCGGGTTACTGATGCTTGGGGAATCCATGCTTCCTATACTTGAAAGATGTTCATGCGCTACGCTCGAGCGAAATATTTTACGAAATTTATTCGAATCTCGAGAAAACTTAAAATACACATATCTATAATTTAAAATTACATAATAAATAAATTTTGCTATAATAGCTGAGCCCGACAACAGTGCATAATCCAGATCCAGGACAACCATAATCAGGTACGAGCAAAAATCAAAATGAATCATCTTTTGGGCTGTCGATCTTTTTTTAAATAAGTACTTTAAACTCAAATGAAGCACTTCCGGTGAACAGAAAGACAGAAAAAAGGAATATTATATATAAAAGAAACTGTGAATGCTGTCAGCTCAGGGCAAAGTCCAACTTTTGGTCTCTATCATTGGGTAGCCAAACTATGTCTTAAATTACAGATTCCTATAAAGATTCTGTTGTGCATTAAACGGACAGTATTATAGGACTCTGTCAAACAAATTATATATATACATATATAAAAAACAACTCTTGCTCTCTAACTAGATGTCGCGTCGATTGCGATTTCGATCTCACTGGATTATTTTCAACAAAACATACGAGTGCTGAATATGTTGTGCATTAAATTAACGGACAGTTAATATTATATATAAAAGAAATTATGAGTGCTGTCAGCACAGGGCAAAGTAGTATTACGAGTTAGTATCAGAAATTTCTTATGCTGAAGTGTACGATGTGTTGCATACCTATTTACAAACAATTCCTTTAAATTTAATTTTTCAAACAATTTTTAACACAAAAAATTATTAAACAAATTGTTCAGAAAAGTGAATTTCGACCACTCGAAGCGATGGTTAGTTTCGAGTTCACAGTGACTGATAGGGCGGTAGGAACTAATTTTGATAATATTTTGCTAGAAATATTGTTTTTCTCTCAATATGATACCTACGCTCATTATATTAAAATTTACTTAGATAATTAATCAAAAATGCACCCATTCGTGATTTATAAAGATGAAACTACAACGTGAAGCTTTTTTATATTACGGGATAGTCCCATTCAATGAGTTTACTACGAACCTCAGATGGTATAGTTATACCACGGCCGTCGACCCAATCTTACATGAAATATTTGCGAGATATCGATAAATTACTAATAGATTTAAATCCGCAAGCATTCAACTTCCCAAAATGTTTTGCTTAATTCAAAATTATGGGGAGCTTGCAAAAATATCTATGACATTGTTCATATCGATAGCTTTTAAGTTTTATTTTTGGGTGAACAAGATTGCTAAATTATTTATGAAAGAAAATTTCACTTTCTGGCCCTGGGGTAATGAAAAATGGCATACGCACCAGGGGAGGAAATAAAGATGAGGCCTGAGATTATACGTCTCTTTATGCTTGTGACTTTACATTGCCAGTTCTACGGAACTCGATGCCGTCTTGGATTATACAGAACTTAAAACCCACAACGGTGTGGTCCTTGACCTATGCAGAGAAAAAGAGCTCTAACTACGTCCTGGAGTACGCATTGATAGGAAACTGCTTTTTAACGAAAGCTTTAATATGATTTATTGAAATTTAAATGCAATATTTCTTTTATTTCTGACGTCACTCCATATGTTATTATAGTAGGTCTGTTCAAAAAGTATTGCAAATTTTGAATTTGCGCGGGTTACGTATATTCGATTTTTTATTTTTTTGTGACGTTATGTTGGTACTTATGTATCTCACTTACACCGACAAGTTTAGTCATATTGAATGTTCAGTCAATTTTTGACAGCTACTTTGCTTGCACGTGTTTTGGCTCACTAATAATGCCGCAGCTACCGTATTCCCCAGATCTGGCCCCCTGTGACTTTTTCTTGTCCCCAAAACTGAAGAAGCCCATGAAAGGACGACGCTACTCTACGATTGATGAGATAAAGACGGCACTGAAGGAGCTGAACAAGATCACAAAAAATAATTTTTTGAAGTCCTTCGAAGATTGGAAAAAAGGTTGACACAAGAGTATATCTGGTGGGGATTACTTTGAAAGGGGAAAAATAGATATTCATGAATAAATAGATCATTTTTGAAAAACCACAAAATTCGCGATACTTTTTGGACAGGCCTCGTACATGTAGAATGTTAATTCATACGAAAACAATAATGTGAATAATATCACATTTTTTAATAAAAATATTAATTCTGATTAACAAAGAGTTAACTGTTCATTTCTGCCGTTGTTTGTCATTTCGTAAAACAAAGAAGTAATTTGAATTACTATCAGAAAACTAATCAAAATTAATAAAGACAGAAATAATATAGTTCGTAGTCATGTGCTTTGTTATTTCATTAGCTTTATCATATACGTATTATTATTAAAAACCTTTAATGCAAATTAGGTGCTCTGCAATATCGACATAATTCTTTTTTTAACACTGAAAACAAACATGTAACTATCTCATTTCTATTTTTATATTATTCTATTGACCTACGAAAATATCCATGATATAAAGCATGTTTTACTGTTTAGTGTTACTGTCATTATTTATCAATTAGGCACCGAAACTAATTCATTAATTAAAACGCTACAGAAAGAATTTTGGAATCACGTTAAACACAAATAATGCCTGACTGTTTTCCTATTAAGTATTAGAACACATGTAGTAACTATAAGTTTTTAAGACAATTATAAATAAATGAGGTAGGAACCAATTTATAAATACGACACCTATGCTTTCCTATTATTTTCCATTTATTTTAAAAACGTCATTTGTTAAAGTTTTTAACAAATATGAAGATTGGAAAAACTTTGGCGGTTGTTGTAGAACAAACAGAATAGCTCAAAACCCCAACGCCAAAACACGACACTGTAGCTGTCCGAAGCACTTTTCGGTAACAAAGTTACCCTCTTCAGGGACTGAAGTAAACTAAACCTATTAGGTTTAGTCATGTTTACTTCAACACACTAATAACGCCACAGCCACCGTATTCCATAGATTTGACCCTTGTGACTTTTTTTTTGTCTGAAACTGAAGAGGCTCATGAAAGGACGACGCTACGCTACGATTGAGGAGATAAAGACGGCATCGAAGGAGGAGATGAACAAGAGATCACAAAAAATGATATTTTCAAGAACTTCAAGGATTGGAAAAAACTTTGGCACAACTATATAATATCTAGTGGGGATTACTTTGAAGGGGACAAAATAGATATTCATGAATAAATAAATAATTTTTGAAAAAACACAAAATTCGGGATACTTTTTACATTATAAGAATAATGATTTTGAAACTTTCGTCAGGTATGCAACTATGTAGTTTTGAGTTTTGAGCAACGTCGTTTGCAGTGATAATACTTCCATTACACCTTTGTTTGTTCTCGTAAGCAGACCCAACGTAAATTACCGTTTACTAATCTGTTCCAAATAACCGATAACTGTATTTTTATAGAACGCGAGACGATTACCTCTATTGGTTTCATTAATTGTAAGCGCAATTTTGTCATCTTCACAATGACACTATCGTAAAGTAAAACTAACGCACATAAATTTGATTTATGACCGCCTGCAAAAAGCGCCGATTTTCGGTTAAATCAAAGGAGCGACTATACTGTAGTATCGCTGGATAATGAATTACATTCTGGAGTCTAGACTTTATTAGTATATTGCATGCAAAATTAAGTAAAATAATGGTAGAGTACCTACTTACCATGATTGCAATGTAATGCCTATAATCGAACGGCAGAGGACCATCGCCTTTCAAAATAAAGTTTTGTGTTCTAAGGAAATGATCCATATAATCGGGATGATAACCCATTACTTGCGTAACATGATCGAGCCGATTATTATTTTGCAGAAAGGCGTCTATAAATAATTCTTGGGTCTGAAACAAAAGAAGAAGAAATTAAAATGAGTAGGTACTAACATTTACAAAAAGTTGTGAATATGTTGTACTCTTTTTAATAATTTATTAAATGATTAAGAAAAAATCAACCTATCATCGTGAAGGTTACTGTTAATCGCCCTTTCAGATGTCGGAATCTCACAAAATTTTCATGCGTATATGTATGTGTACTCACATATTTAATATTTTTTAAATTGTCAAGGATAAACATTTCATTTCACATCCGTTTTTCCTAATTTATAGGGAGGCGCTTCGTCCCTGGCGAAGGCACATTGCCGGAAAATTGGCCAGAGACGGGAGATGCTGACTGTTCCGAGCTGGAGTTACCGAAGTTATGCATAAATGAGAAGCGTTGATTTTTGAATCACTATATTTACTATGTAATTTTTTGGCACAGAATTGGTACTGTGACCTCGCTCAGGGCACTAATAACGCTAGTTACGTCACTGCTTCCCCGACTGGAAATTAGTTCAGTATCGGGCCCGATTAGAATCAGAATTGCCTAAAGACTGATCAGGGATAAATCAGGCTTCCTGATCCGGATATGATTAAAAATCGTTTCGTCATATACGATCCGCACAGGATCTGTTTCAAAGATCCATGCCGGATCCATTCCGAAGATTCATGCGGGATCCAATTGAAAGATACATGCGTCCAATCCATTCAATTCAACAGATCCATGCCCGATTCGGCCAAAAGATCCATACCGGATCCGTTCAAAGGATCATTTGATCAGAAACTAATCATATCTGATCTGGATCTGATCATAATCCGGGTTGCCTGAACTAATTTCCATTTGGTCCTTCAATATGATCATTCTGATGCTGGGTTTAAAGAATTATTAAAAATAATCAAAAATAATACCAGTTTAATAAATAAGAAGACATCTATTAATTACCTGAGATTAAACAGACGGGCGCGTTTGGCAAACTTTCACCAAGAGAAAGAATCTAAATTTAAAAGAAAAACGCTTTACGTATACTTCGCTTAGTTTCTGTAGCGATGTGACCGTCAGTTAGACCGGCGCAAAGTAGAAAAGAACAGCATTATGCCAGAAAAGAAAGGAGACAACTCTCGGCCAAACGGGCGAGGAGCGTATAATCCGTACAGTATTGCACGGAAAAATTGACCATTTTATCTACTAAAATTGCATTGCTCAAATGTGCTGTTATTGGTACCAATTACTACTGAAAATATCAACCAGATGTTTATTTATGTTTGAAGACATACAAAAGGCTTTAACGCTTGTTTTGGACTCGCACTACTATTCATGATTGAACGAATTTTTTGGCAGGTACTGTATGAAAAAGTATGTTTAATGAACAAGAGTCGAGAGTATAATGAGCTTTTTTCTCCCTACCTACGATTTTGCCAACGCGCATCCAAGACATTGGAAGGGACACATCGCTAGAGAAAGTAAATGAAGTATAATTACGCCTTATTATTTGTAACAATGTCGAAATATAAAAGATCTAAATACATTACACAGTAAAGGAAGATCTATTTACTGGGCAAAGGGGTGAGATGTGATCTGACCAATGGGAAGGGGTGTCCAAATTTCTAAACGAACATCTCACGCAATTAATCGATGTCCCTAATAATGTCAACTGTTGATTGGTCATTAGCTAACACACAGATTGCAGAGTTTGGAATTGGTTTCTTTGGCAATATCCAAGAATTTGGGTTATGTGTAGAAAAATATATTTTTTTTCTTATAGAAATTGGTTCAAGTTCAAATCCATTTGTTGCTGAAATTTTCCCGTATAAATAAATGTAATAAATAACTGGACCTCTTCATAATAGGACAATCACGTTTCTTTCACATTATCGTATCGCATAAACAACTGGAAGAAAACAACTTAAATGCTTTGTTTATGGACCTGTTTATGTAGAAGTTGTCAAGCTCATTTTACGACAAAAACTTGTTTTTATTTATTTGTGGGTAAAAGCGAGTGCGTTGCAAATTCACATGTTACGTTATACATATTTTTTTACATAAATATGTATGTACATACATTCCATAGACATTGTTATTTATCACATATTATGCGAAGTAAGGTATCATTACCGTAGTGATGAGATGACCTAAGAATATTAATTGAAACAAAAACACTTTTAATAACTCATTGACGGGTCTGTAACTTACCTGAACAATTATAAATCAGTAAGATACGGTTTTACTTTTATTATTTACATGCTACATATACTGATTCGAAGTCTATCATGATTTGATGATTCAGGAATTATTGGGGTCCAATATCCACAAATACGAAAATATAATGTAGGTATTAAGAAATAATAACAAATAATATTATTTGTAATTTTATTCTCCAAGACCTATTTAAATAGACCTAAATTTATTATCTACAATAAACGAATATAATTATAATATAGAACTTATTAGTGAAAATACGATTACGAACAGTAAAGATTGCACAACCTACGCTGTTGTTGTTGTATCAATACATGATTCCATGTTTAATTAATAAAATGATTTAAAATTTTCCTAACATTGTTGTTATTTGCTACCTGTACTTGTTAGTTGTATTACTAATAACTGTAAATTGTTAGTAACAAAGAGCACATTAAATAGGTCAAACGTCAACGACAAAACACGTATAGGGTTGAAGCTATTTAGTGTGTTCTATAAAACCGTCAAAGTGTCCAGTTTTTTTCATTGGTTATTATTAACCTTTTTAGTAACAAAATCTTTTTAAACAAGTATTCGTGAAGGCTTATTTAAAAAAATTATTAGATTACATCAGCACGTCACAGGTCATAGGCAGTACTGTTGCAACAGACCTCTGCGTCCGCCTCTATAATTGCGGAAGTTCCGCGCACTTTTTTACATCTGTTTCTGTTTCCAACAATATGTCGGAACAATAAAACAAATTTGTTACATTTGTCTGTTGACTGAACCACCCAAGTGTGATGCACCCTTGGCTATGGGAGCTGATTGTATATTGGTTAGATTACATATTCTCAACTTTACTGAATTGCTACTTTCACTATTACTGTATAAACTTTTCTTTTTTTATTGACATATTGACAATGCAAGTGCCAAAAGCAACATCTTCAACAAAGTATATTCGCCAAAAGGGCGCACAACCACTGAATTAGAGAATTACCGAAAATCATTACACTTTTCCGCCGCCTTCGCTTCTGTTTCCGCTTCTTTCCGCGACAATTACCGACTAAATCTATGCATTACTTTAAAATTAAGTTGGACGCAGAAACCTTGCCTTCTCTTAGTTAGGTATTGCTCTTCCTGTGGTAAAATTATTTTAATCGTAAGATAAATTCCGCCCACAGGTTATTTTACTTTTATAATATATGTGGCAAGCAAGTCGCTTTGTATATTGGAAGAAATAATGTAATAAAAGCAGTCAAAAATCGTATTGACTGGCATGAGATAAATAAGTACATATATCTGTAAATATTACACAGATTATACATACATACGTGATTGCATATCACAAGGACTGTGATAAGTCACTGCTATCGTCATTCTGAAGAAGGCCACGGAGATTAAGTTATATTTTTTTAAATATTTATTTAATAGTACATGTTTTTTATTAGACTTATGATTAGACGGTAGTTGGTATTGTTCATATAGTGTTGAGATACCTGCATATTATAGAACAGAATATAAAAATATTAACTAATACAATAACTGTATTAAGAATTACTAGAAACATGGTCTCTATTATTAGTAAACGGTAGGGTTTGACGGTTTTTCAAATCCGGTTTAAAAAATCGGCTCTTAAGGAAGTACCCTTGATAATGAATTAATGAAGTTAAATTTAATATCAAGACAAATTTCTTTTTTAAGGTTAAGATCACTTAAAAGTTAGTTCTATGAAAAACTGACCTCAATGTCTTAATGTGATACTATAAAACACGTAAAAATGGCCAAACAAAACTAGAAACTGCAAAGTATACAGTATTCAAACGGCATTCACAACTTTTGTGTGATTAGCTTTGTGATTAGATTTATAATTTTTCTTCCTGTGTCTTTTGAACCACGTTCAGCATTTCAAAATAAAATTTACTGTAATATAATTGAATTGTGTGATATTAATAAAAATTTGGAATGCCTCTCAAACTTCACCATCATACAGTCCTAAGACTGGTTGGACACGTACCTCCACTCTTTCCTATCCTGAGCTAAACTTGGCATTTCCCTAAAACTAGAACAAACCACATCCTAAACTATCTGCGAACAGTAATCTAATCTATGTCTACCTCTACCTCTCCTAACTCCTGTGACTAGACCTTCATGCCTGAGAAGGTGTCTTACCAAACTATCTCGCCTACATTTTATCGACTTCCATAGAGTCCTCTGTTCTCCTATTCTTTCTAATACCTCTCAAACTTATATTAACAATATGGATATTACTTTTACGTTGGTCACTTTTTTCAAACAAAATTCCATTTATTTGAAAAATAAATATGCCAACGGATTTAAAATAGACAGGAAATTTTAGCATAATGCTCAGCCTGCTACCTGTACATCAAACGCGGATCTAAAATTGAGATGGAATTTTATGATGATTTGCAAACATGTTCTGCCTGTTGCCTGTATCCATATCATACATGTATATAAGTATGTACAAATGTATTAGTAGGTACCGCATTTTTTAATAGACACAATAAAACTATTTTTTTTTTCGTTAAAACGCGAATGGGAACTCATAAAATTTATTTTTAAACGTTGTGCGTGTCGCAAAAAAATAAATATCAGAAGTGAAGTAGTATGTGGCACGCGAGTTCAGAACATCATGTACTTTTTTAGAAGCACATACATACATATGTAGGTATCTTTATTAATATATTCATTGACGTGAGGTCTTTCCTTGGCGATGAACTTATCATTATGAATAATTTTTTTATCACTTACTTATTTTTATTAGATGTGTTTATAGGTTACAGGAGTTTAAAAGTTATCTTGCCCAGACTAAAAATAATGTCTCCAATAC